GGGGGGGGGGGGGGACTGATAAAGTCAAATGTCCCATATGCTTTCTTAACTACCCTATTAACCTGTCCTGTTGCATTTAGGGATCTGTGGACAAGCATCACAAGAGCTGACTGATCATAATCAAAGTCCCCTCCCACTCCAGTTATAATCTCTTCCAACCTCTTCTGTCAGGTAGAAGATACAAAAGCTTAAACACAATACCAACAGATTCAAGAACAGCCTCTTCCCTGCTATTTTTAGACTTCTGAATGGACCTCTCAAATTTTAAATTTAATGTTGATCTCGTTCTTTGTGCATCTTCTCTGCAGCCTTAACACTGTATTCTTCGCTCTGTTCTAAAACCCTAAAGCATTTTGTATGGTATGATCTGCCAGTGCTGCATTCAAAACAAAACTTTTCACTGTACCTAGGTACATGTGACAATAATAAATCAAAATCAAAATCAAATCCTCTATGTTTCCTAATGTCTTGCTATTCATTGAGTGCTCTGGAGTTGAGTTGAAAGTACATCACCTCACACTTATCAGGTTAAATTCCATCTGTCATTGATCTGCTTCTCTGGCCAATCCATTGAAATCCTCAGGTAACCTAACACCTTCCTCCCCATCGTCAACCACCTGGCTAATCTTAGTGTCATCTGCAAATTTACTTATCATCCCTTTCACGCTCTCATCTACATCATTAATGAATATCACAAATAATAAGGGACCCACTGCTCCAGTCACAAAATTGATTTTGTTCTGATATTTGAACTTCGAATGTGCATGTCCCAATCTTTACACTTACAACATTTATAAGGATTGCTTCCTACTTCCCGGTTTGCTGACTGTGGGAATTTTTAAATGTTATTAGCTCCTTGTCCTACATTAATGATAGCATTGCAGCTGGACACCTTGGATATAGTGTTAGGGTTAGTGTTCAAATGCAGGCAATGGCCTCATGGTATTATCACTAGACTATTAATTCAGAGGCTCAGGTAATGTCCCGGAGACCTGAGTTCATACTCCTGCCTTGGCAGATTGTGGAATCTGAATTAAATAAAAATCTGGTCTAATGATGACCATGAAACCATCAGGGAAAAGCCCGTCAGATTTAGGGAAGGAAGTCTGTTGTCCTTACCTTGGTCTGGCCTACACGTGACTCCAGACCCACCGCAATGCGATTGACTGGTAACTGCTTAGTTTAGAAATTACTTGACAGAACTAGCCAGCCCACATCTCATTAATTAATTTAAAGAAAAACCTTTGAGGGGAACTGCACCAGGGGATAAGTCTCACCGACATGCCCAATCCCTGCAACCATCAAGGTCTCACGCCAACTGGAGAAAGTGGCTTCCTGGGTAAAAGATGTAACTGGGTGTTGGTTACACTTTGGTTGAAACTGTTTTTTGGAGCTGCCTTTGCTAATATTCTGTGTACAATGAGGGGAAACTGGACTCTCTGCTGGACTTTACCCGATGACCCGTCCTCTCCTGGAATTTAGAAAAATGAGGGAGGGAGGATCTTAGAGAAACATATAAAGTTATGAAGGGAATAGACAAGATTGAAGTGGGGAGGCTGTTTCCACTGGCGGGTGAAATTAGAACCAGGGGGCATAGTCTCAAAACAAAGTGGAGCAGATTTAGGACTGAGTTGAGGAGGAACTTCTTCACCCAAAGGGTTGTGAATCTGTGGAATTCCCTGCCCAGTTAAGTAGTTGAGGCTTTCTCATTGAATGTTTTTAAGGCAAAGATAGACAGATTTTTGAACAGTAAAAGAATTAAGGGTTATGGTGAGCGGGTGGGTAAGTGGGGCTGAGTCCACGAAAAAGATCAGCCACGATCTTGTTGAATGGCAGAGCAGGCCAAATGGCCTACTCATAGAATCCCGACAGTGTGGAAACAGGCCCTTTGGCCCAACAAGTCCACACCAATCTGCACAGCATCCCATCCAGACTCATCACCCTCTAACCCACACATCCCTGAACACTACGGGCAATTTAGCATGGCCAATCCACCTTGCCTGCACATCTTTAGACTGTGGGAGGAAACTGGAGCACCCGGAGGAAACCCAGGCAGACACGGGGAGAATGTGCAAACTCCACACAGACAGTCACCCGAGGGTGGAATCAAACCTGGGTCCCTGGTACTGTGAGGCGGCAGTGCTAACCACTGAGCCACCATGCCGCCCTAAACTGGACACCCTACTCTTGCTCCTATTTCTTATGGTCAAGCGACTAGAGTATCTAGCTGACTCTCAGCACCCTGATTCCGCCCTGCCTTGTGGTTATGTAAACAGGGCCAGGTCTGTTCATGACAGTCGCAGTGATGTGGTAGTGCCAGGCTGTGTATGTTTGTGTGTGTACAGTCACTGAGTCAACAATTGACACATACTGTCCTGAATGCACTCTCTCTCACACTCGGCAGCCTCGAGGCCGCTGTGCCAAGCAGGAATCTCTCAGGGTTGATGTAGGCAGATGCTAGCCTAATAAAGGCAAAATCCTACCAGGTGCTGGGGATATTAAAACAAACACACAGCAGGTCCGGCAGCATCTGCAGAGAAAGCAAAACAGGGCTGTAAGCAACAGCCTCAGAGAAAAAGGAAGTGGGGGGGCACAAGATACAGAACAAGAGTTACATTTAGGGGGAGAAGAGAGAGAAGGGGGGTGAAGAGAGAATGGGAAGTGAAGACAGAGGGGGGTGAAAAAAGGGGACGAAGAGAGGGAAGGTGAGGTGAAGAGAGAGAAGAGGGGGGTGAAGGGAGAGAAGAGGGGGGTAAAGAGAGAAAGGGAGGTGAAGAGAGGGAAGGGGAGATGAAGGGAGAGAAGAGGGGGTGAAGAAAGAGAAAGGGAGGTGAAGAGAGGGAAGGGGAGATGAAGGGAGAGAAGGGGTGAAGGGAGAGAAGGGGGGGAAGGGAGGGAGAGGGGGGAGAAGGGGTGAAGAGAGAGTGAAGACCGAGGGAGGGGGAGGAAGTGATGAGCAGAGGTAATGAGGAGATGGTAGCTGTCCCTGGTGAGGGGAACAGAGCAGGAATAGCCCCCTTGGAGGTGAAATATTTGCAGGGAGATGGTTGTATTGGAGTAGGTGTGAGGTGGTGTAATCCTTTAGGAGGCTGTGTGTTTGCAGACTCTGACCGGATTAAAGGATTACGTGCGAGTTGAGAGAGGGTGGGGAGGGAGTGTGCAGCATCTCGGGTTTTCTGCCCTCGGCGGGTGCTGGATGTCTGTAGCCGGCTGGGCTGCCTGGCTGTTCCGGGCGGTGCGGCAGCTCGGAGCTTCACAGCCTCCTGCTCCTCCCACTCCCCGGGAGCCCGACCCCCGGGGACCGGCCTCTCCACATGCCGACTGGATGGGCAACCTCCCGCCGGCTCTCAGCGCCCTGCCTCTCGCCAATCTGGCCGTGCCAGGTAAGGGAGATCCGGGACTGTGATCTGCCTGTGCACCCTTGGCGGGGGGAGGGGGAGGAGATCCGGGACTAGGATCTGCCTGTGCATCCTGGGGATGTGGAGTGTGTGGGGGGTGTGTAGATCCCGGACTGGGA